CATTTTGAGTGGATTTAGTGATACCTATTCACACTCCTCGCTTATTCCCACATCACCCTCTCACTGTTCTGGGAGTGTTGATTCCAGCCCATTCTATTATTCCGCAATTCGTTTCATTCGGATCCTATCAGAATCTCTCTCTTGGGGTGTAGGATCCGTCTCATATTTCTTACTACTCGAGGCCTTGTGTTCAACATTCTGCCTCACACCTTTGATGGCACGTATAAACCCCCATTGTCGAGCAGGCCTCCAAAGTCTGGATTCTTAAGCTGGATGCAAAACCAACCTCATCACTATTTGTCATGTGCACTGTGTAAGTCTCGTGGACTTTGTGGACCTTGTCTATGATCAAACCCGTCTTCAGTTTGCCAGATATTGCTGGTATCCGCCGCATCTCTCGTACTTCTATCCATAATGCCCAGTCTGACTGTCCTATTTCCAAATATTTTGTGTGTCAGCATGCAAATATTATAGTTGTGCAAATTTCTTGGATTAGAAGCACTGCAACCGTCTCCTCTTCATTTCCAATACTTCTTCTTCGGTATCCTACTTGCGATTTCTTTTTTTCAAACTTAAAATAATTCAGATATAAAGACCAAGATGTTGTGGCCTCTCTTTGACGAGCTTGGTGCAGGGAATGGCAAAACACACTGACAATGCCGAATACAATGCCGGCGAAACGTTTGAGAATGTACCAAGTCCACTGTCTGATGCTGGGAATCATGACAACTACTCGGCAGACGACTTCGGACTCGGTGCGTTCTACATAGTCTCCCTTAACACAAGACCAAGTTGCGACAACGAGGTCAACCCACTTCTAGCAGACGACGTCGGACTAGGTGCGTTCTACATGGTCTCCCTGAAAACAAGACCAAGTTGCTACAACGAGGTCAACCCACTACAGACAACTTCGGACTAGGTGCGTTCTACATAGTCGCCCTGACAACAAGACCAAGTTGCAACAATGAGGTAAACCCATTTCTTAAAATAATTACTTGATCTAGTCGTCTTCTTTTTGCTGGTATTGCTCTTCCCTGGTATCCACCGAGCTTGCTTTAGCAATATTTGAAGTTTGCGCTAATCTTGCCTTCTTTAAGTCTCCACTCAGTAGATTTCTTTCCTTCA